CCACATAAAGCAATTAGCCCTCACCGCCTGCAACACAGTAAACCATCTATTAAAAATGTTGGCCATTATTGAAGGCAGAGGGAGGGAAATGCCTTCTTAGCGTTTAGGCCTCTTCTGGGATTAGGTGACACCAGGTGAACCACGAGGTCAGTGGGACTCTTGTATGCATATTGGACTGGCCAAATATAGAGACGCACTCCTATGAGTTGAGCACTTAGGAAAAGACTGCTCTAAATACACACAGATTTAATTGTTCCATGTGCAATATTAACTGAGCCATCTGCCCGATGACACAGTCCTCCAGTCACTTTGAATGATGTCTTCACTCAGCATGTTGGTTTGTCCTGATGTTTGTGTTTACATAGGCACATTTACCTAAGAAGATCCAGACGTTGTATCGGCATTAGCCCCACCTAACAAACTGGGGGAGGAAGGGTGTAGAAAACTGGAGGGAATGGACACCATAGATCCATTTCTCCTTAGTTTGAAAAATGAAAGATAGCAACAGGGCAGTGAAGCTGTTTAAAGCGGGTGGAAGAAACTAAGGACATTTGAAGGAACAGCTGCAGAGAAGTAGGAGATGTAGTCTGTGCTATCAGAGCCACGGGAGGCAAAGTTTGTTTCCATGGGATCAAAAAGAACCTGGCGATTGACCTAAAGGCCTGAGTGATTCAACTCTTTTAGACTATTTGAAGCTATTAGAGAAATTTCTTGGAATTGATTAGTAGAAGAAAAATTTTCCATTTCATTTTTAGCCTGTATTTTATTTTTAAAAGGGAAATAAGAGAGAGCGAGAGAGAGAGCTTTGTGTGATACTGAAAATATGTTATGTGGTAGGATATTAAAGTCAGAGTTTCATCTAAGGTTCCCAAATAGAAGGGATATGGCACACGAATGTGAGATTCCAGAGTAAAATACAAACTTATAAAGAAAATAGTAGCAAACTATTTCCATAAATCTTGAGACCCCTTCAGCCAGGTCCAGGTGACTCAAGGGGGCTGGAGTGTGGCAAGGGGAGAGGATTTGGGGACTAGGAATTCAGGAGTGCTGCTGCTGATGTGTCTGTTTGGAGTACGTGGAGGGGAGGGACCCTATCCCCTCACCTCAAGCTGTGTCCGAAAGAGTTTCAAAGTGTCTTCTTAGAGAACTGGATGTGAGATGAGTGCATGAGGACAGGGGTCAAGTAAGAGTGGACCAGGTTGGTTCGACTGCCACCCAGGAAATTTAGAGGGTGAGGAACAGGCTGACACACTATTTTAGCAAAAATAAATTCAGGAAATTTGCTGCCACATTTTCACAGGCAAATGATGTGAGTTTTCCC